CAAGCCCCGAGACATCCACTGCTGAGCTGTGGGGACAGGATGTGCTGCTGCACCCTGAGGTGCACACCCAGTCCCCGCCTGGCCACTGGGACATACTGATATGAGACACTATCCCAGGGCATATCACCCAGACTCTGGGTACAAAGGGCCCTAGAGAGAGGGCTTTCAGTGGGATGGAGATCATTGTAGGTAAGAAGGTCGGCTGGAGAGGGGAGGCAAGAAGTTGTAGCCTGTGGGAGTGGCGGTGATTATGTCTAAAGATGGGCACTCAGGCTGGCTGAAAGCCAACATACTTGGACAAGTGTGGCTTGGAGGAAGCAGACTGGTGTTTCTCAGCCCTCCCCTGCCAGCGCTTGTCCTTACCCTGCAGACAGGCAGCGATGGCATAGTCCATGGCCCAGCTGACGAGCGCCATGACGAGCCCCAGCAGGACCAGGAAGATCCAGTCTTCGCCAACCCTGGACACTAGGAACTTATGACAGCGTACTGAACAGACTGGGAGCAGGGAAGGGAAAAAGGAGGAGGTTGATACCAAAGGGCTCCTATCCCTGCGTCCCCCAACCCCACAATGGGAAGATGTAATGAATGGCCTCTGTGCCCTCAGAACAGCACAGCTGGATCCCCTGCCCCAACCCAAGTCTCACTGCGGCATCTGGCACAACGGCTTTGTCCATATTCCAGGAGCTCTGGGAGAGCCGAAGGGGAAGACGGGCCCCTCCAGGGCTCGGGCCCTCCCAGGCGGATCCGAGCAGCCTCCTCTTTGGCAAAGGCCCCAAGGTCCTGAGTGTACCGGCCATACATCTGAGCAATGGGGAAGATGGGGTTAGAAGCCCTGCATGCGAGCTGAGAGGGGATTCAGGGAGGGCTCCTGGGGTCTCAGCTCCCCTTCTCCCAGCCCCCATATTATGTGGGTCCTCTTGAACCCACAGGTCCCACTTTGGCTTGGGGTGTGGGAACAATGCACATTGCAGACTGTGGGGACTGTCCTGGCCAGAGTGATGGGGACAGCCAAGGTACAGGGACACAGCTCTGGGGGTGGCAGAATAATCAGTCCTCTTCTCACAGGCCTGAAGGGGGGGGGCACTGAGGAGGAGTGGGAGGGAATGCCCCAGAGGAGGAGAGATGGAAAAACCTAAGGCAGCCTGAAAGTGGGAGGAGGGAAGGTCAGAGACTAAGGGATGGTCAAGGGCATCTGGGTAACAATAAGGGCCTCAAGGAGCTGGGGGCAGCTGAGCTGGGCCTAGGAGCTGGCGGGGCCTCAATCCTTATCACGTTTCTGCTGGGCTTCTGGCCTGTGACCGACTCAGCTGTACCCCTTCCACCTACCCTAATCCCCTTGTTTCTCTTCTTCATCCCCCCCACCCCCAAACACACACACAAACACCAGCCTGCCAGTCCAGCTGGGAGCGGAAAGTCTCTCTGGATGGGTAGGGAGTGCTTGGTGGCCTCAGCCCACTCTGGAGCTGCCCTGAGTCCAGTGGTGGGTTGAGGGACAGCAGAAACTGATGGCTGGGCTGTGACTGGGGATGCTTGGGGTGATGGGATGGGAGAGTTTCCGAGCCCTGGCTAGACCTGCCAAGCTGGGCGTGTGTTGGGGGGTGGGGAGCAGTATATTCCGGCTGCCACCCGCAGAGCTTTGAGACACAAAGGGCTCCTGTTGGGGCTGGGGGGGGGGTGCGGGAGGAGGGAGGGAAAGATAGAGACAGAGAGAGAGATAGAGAGAGCATGGAAAGGGAGGCGAGGGAACCAGAAAGAGGAGAAAGAAGGGGAAAAGAGAGGCCTAGAGAAGGAGCAGAGAAGAGAAGGGAGAAAAAGGGAGGAGGGAGGGAGAAAAAGGGAGGAGGAAGGGACAGAAAGAGAGTATAAAGAGTCAGACACAGTGTCAGAGTGGGAGGTGAGCCTGTGAGGGAAAGACAAAGGAATCGGGAGGAGAAGGGGGAGACTGGAGCAGAGAGTGCCCGGGAGAGAGCTTGACCCTGAGAACTCATACTAGAGATAAACACCAGGCAAAGGAGATAGGGATGGGACTGGTGCAACATTTCAGGGCCAGGTGCCTGGCTTCCTTGACCAATACCCCATTCTTGGCTTTTGTACATGGACAGACACCTCCCACTTTAAAGGAAGGCTTCCCTTGACACCCGTGCTCTACCCCCACCCCTGCCACCTCTCCCTGTCATCCTGTTTCATCCAGTTACTCCCTCTCTTAAACTGGGCACCTCCCAGCCTCAATTACAGCCCGGGGGCTCACTCCTCCAGGAGAGATTCCCTCCCTGTCTCCTTCCACGGCAAATTCCAGGACCAGCCGTGCAAAAAGGAGCCCTTCCCTAGAGGTTAGGTTCCCCACTCCAGTGACACAAGAAGGGGCTGGCATGACTCAGCTCAGAACCTCAGGACCCCAGCTTATAATGAGGTCAAGAGACACCCCTGGGGTGGGGAGGGGCTGGATACTCAGAGTAAGCACGGATAAAGGTCCTAATTCACACGCCCACTTAGACAGAGGAGTTCCTGCCAATGCTGGGTTGCCAGACTGAAGGGGTAGACGGGCTGGATTTGGGTCTGACCATCTTTCTATACACACTCATGTTTCTGTGTCTAGCACAGAAAATGCACGTACTGGGGATAGAGAGGAAATGTTTTGGATGGTGGAGATAGGAGCGTAGAGAAAGTACAACGGGTGTGAGCGGTGCTGGGGAGGGGTAGTGAGGTGCTGAGACTTGGGCCCAGGTGGTCGGCGGGGAGGAGCACAGAAACGTGGTGGCGGAGGAGGTAAAGGGAAGGACACCTGGGACAAGCACCTGATCTTGTCCTCGCCGGTCCCCAGCCTAACCCAGAAACCTGCATGCAGCCTGTCCCTTAGCCCTCCAGCCTCTCAGGCCCTCGAGCCTCAGTTTCCCGAGCTCACAAAGGTCAGGGAACGGATTAGGATAGGCCCCCGGTCCTCGCCCTTCCAAAGGTATCCAAGAGCAGCAGTCCGGAGCGCACCCATCTGGGCTCGGCTCGGCTTCACTTACCAGGGTCTGCTCATATTGCAGCGCCCGCGGCTCCATCCCTTCCTCCGCCGCGGCGGCCGCTGAGGCCGCCATCTCCGCGCACAGCCCTCCGGCCTCCGGCTGCGGCTCGGGCTCTGGCCTGGACTCTGCTCCCCGCCCGCAGAGCCCGCGCCGGCACCCGTCCCGTCCCCGCAGCCCGGGTGGCCGAGTGCAGAGCCTCCCGCTCGCGTCCCCTCCTCGGCGGGCGGGCCGAGGGCGGTGCCCTCGGTGCTGCTCCGCCCGCCGGCCCATCCACAGGGGCCGGCCCAGCCCGGTTGGGGTCTGCCTTGGGGACGCCTCGCAGGCTTGGGAGAGGCGGTAGAGGGCGCTTGGAACGCGCCAGCCCCGGACCCCTCTCCGCGGAGGCTGAAGGCAGAGAGGGGCACCGGGTGCCACAGTGGGGGCGGGTCCGCTGGCACGTGGAGGGGCCGGGCGGGTCTGCAGCTCCAGGCTCCCCGGCCGAAGAAACTGGAGACACCGGAGCTCAGCAGGGCCTGGGGCCAGGGACCGCAGAACCGTCTAAATCAGGCTCATCAGGCCCTAATCTTTCTCTCTGGGGTAGTGCCGTCTCTTGCTTCTCCAAAGGGGCCAGCGGCTCAGATGCGCCGCTGCTCCGTCGGGAGTGAGAAGCAAAGCTGGGGGGACTCGGAGGGGCTCCCTAGGTCCAAGGTGGGGGCGATGCTGTGACCCTCAGTCTTTCTTATCCTCTCCCTTCCTCCTTTTTTTTTCCCCCTCCCGCGGCTCTCCCAGGGAAGTGCACCTGGAGCAACCTGGACTGCGGGGTGTGAGGGAAGGGGGGCGGGGTGGAGGTGGTGAGGGAAAGAGTGAGGCCAGAAGGACAGGAGATGTAGGTGCGGAAGGGGCCCCTCCTGAGAGCCGGGAGTGGGGGGTGGGGGACAGGTAGCTTCTTCCTGGCAGGGCCCAAGGAGAAACCCGAGTAGCTGCTGACGTCTCGCCGCCAAGGGGGAATGGCCTGACGGGGCTCTTGGTTCTCTATCAAGGTCCGGAGTAGGATAGAGCGGAGGGTGGAGTGAACGCAGGGTGGATGGGCTGCGTGTGTGTGTCAGAGATAGTGTCAGGGGAGAGGCCAGTGCCCAGGAAATAGGCAGTGTGTCGGAGGAGACAGTATCAGGATGAAGGGACACGTGGGAGGCAGAGGTGGTGCCTCGGAGGAGGGGGCAGTGCTCACGAAGCGGGAAGTGTGAGAGGAGCCAGCACTCAAGACGTAGGGGCAATGTAAGGGAAGAGTATCCGTGGGAGAGGACAGTGCCGGAATGAAGGGGCACATAGGAGATCAGTGTCCAGAGGGAGAGGACTGTGGAGGAGAAAAGGTCAGTGCTCAGGCGGGCAATGTGATGGGGTCAATGCCAGGCTGTAGGGGCGGTGTGGGGGAAGAGAGCAGGGCTCAGGGGGAGAGGACCCTGGTGGGGAGGGTACAATACCCGGGGAGGGGACAGTGCAGGCTTTCCTCTTCCCCATAGTGACATCATGGCAAATTCCCAAACTGAAAAGACCCAGCTCGGGTGACATCCCGCAGGGCCGAGCTGGCCCGGGCCGGCCTGAGGGGCCTCGGTGCCAGCTGGAGGTGCCAGCTGGAGGGGCTGCGCCCTGCGGGAACAGCGCTCTGGGGGCGGTGTTCTGCTCCGCCCTTTCTCGGCGCGGACTGTGCCCTCGGCGGGTAAGCAGACCGGCGAGGTAAGGGGCCGGGCTGGGGCCGGGCTTCTCTGGGCCAAGGATCAAGGTCCCTGGCTGAGATAGGCTGCCGTGCATTCCAGTTTTTCCGACAGGAACCCTGAAGAGGGCGCAGTAGAGCCTCAGCAGATGGCGAGAAACCGCGCCACCTCGACGGGAGGTGGGGCCCGTTTGTCGTGATCCCGCCCCGGGGCGGAGTCATCTGGATCTGAGGCACGCCCTCAGATTACAGAAGTCTCTCGGAAACAGTCTTTCGAAGCGGAAGTTAGGAAGCCCCGACAACCAGACGACGGAAGTGGCCGCCTGACTGCTTGTTTGTGCGCATGCGTTCTTCTGCTGCCTTGCTGCCGCTCTTCAGTCGCTACTTTGTTCTCTCTCCCCTCCTTTTCTCCAGGCGAGGGGTTTTGCTTGCCTGTAGTTGTGGTTGCACGCCCAGGCCCCTGTGCTATTCTTGTGGCCCTTTCACCATGGCGGGCATTCTCTTTGAAGATATTTTTGATGTGAAAGACATTGACCCGGAGGGCAAGAAGTTTGACCGAGGTAAGTAAGGTATGCAGAGGCGGTTGGGGTAAGGGGCTAATCTGGTCCTTGGGGACACGCCCCTGGGCTCCGGGTCCACCCAATTCCTGTTGCCTGCCCCTACCTGCAGGTCCTAAAGTAGGAACCCCTCCCACAGGAAACATTTTATAGATGAGAGAACGGAGACTCCGAGCTCTCCTTGGGTTGGTTCACACATGCTGTGCCCGGTACCTGGGTGGCCTTTTAGCGAAGTGCTAGTAAACTCCGGGGCATCTTTTAGTCGCTGCCCGCTGTGTGCTAGGCGCTGTACTGTGCACGTTACACGCTTTGTCTTTTTTCTTTCAAGAGTCTCCATGAGGTAGGTGGAGTCTTACCCATTTTTCTCGGAGAAGTTAAGTAACCCACCCAAGGCTTCATAGCGAGTAATCCGTCACCAGCACCTATATCCTTTTGTTTGTTTGCTTTTATTTTTTAATTGAGTTTTTTGGGTTGACATTGGTTAACAAAACTATACAGGTTTCAAGTGTACAACTCAAGAAAACATCATCTGCATACTGGATTATGCGCCCATTGCCCAAAGTAAAGTCTCTTTCCACCTGCATGTTTGTATTGTTCTTAGAATCTTTAGCTCTTTGTGAAGCCCTCTCTGAATTTGAGTTGACTACTTGGAATAATAAAGAGTTGCTCTTTTTTTCTGTCATTGATCAGTAATTGTTTCTTTCCGGTTTCATACCCTTTACCTGGAGACTGAGATGTTCTTTAAGACAAACACCAGTTCTTACATGTCCTAATAGTCCCCTCCGCACAGCACCTGGCACAGAAAGACAAAACCTTTTAAACAAAAAGTTTATTGAAAACAAAAAGTTATGAATGAATAACTTACCCAAAGTCAAGTTGTTTCTTAATCACCTAGGCAGGCCTAGAATCTGGATATTATTTGTTGCCAGAGGACTTTGAATTTTTTTCTGGGGATTGTATCTACTTGACATAGTTTTTCTCCCCTTTCTTGCTTGCATATCTGGTTCTGACTGAGCCTGCATGTCTGTGAGGGCAGTTGAGAGGCCAGTGGATACACAGTGGGTTAGATTTACTGTTCTATTGCATATGGTCCCCAAAATGGGATCTGCAGGGTAGGCCTGGGTCAGGCAATTAACCTTGCCACTCTTTCTCTACTCTCCAGTGTCTCGACTGCATTGTGAGAGTGAATCTTTCAAGATGGACCTTATCTTAGATGTAAACATTCAGATTTATCCTGTAGACTTGGGTAAGTATTGAACACAGACAATAGCAGGAGACTTTTTGCCCTTTCAGCTGTTCTTCACCCTCAGATATTGCTGTTACTTTCAGGTGACAAGTTCCGGTTGGTCATAGCTAGTACCTTGTATGAAGATGGTACCCTGGATGATGGTGAATACAATCCCACAGATGATAGACCTTCCAGGTGAGGGAGTGGAGAAGGGAATACTTGAACTATGCCTGAGGACTAAGTAGATAAGCGGTATAGAAAGACCCTTATTTAATTCGTGGAATAAATGATTATAATCTGAGGAATTTTAAGGAAATTGCTGCACTAAGAATTTAAACAACCAGGTGTTTATCCAGAGCAGTGCTTGCATGCCTGTGAGCTGTAGCTTTTTGATGGCTGAGAAAAGGATCACTGAGTGGCCTAGGCTTTGTGGGCCTTGGGTCCTACTGGGGAGTTTGGTGTGATGGGAGTTTGGAGCCCCACTGAATTCAGACCTCAGTTTACCTCTCATTTGTTGAATAACCTTAACCTCTTTCAGCGACAGTTTCCTCGTCAGTAAGAGACAGATGGTTGTACCTAGCTCACAGGTTTGCTGTGAGGACCAAATGACATTGAGTTTGGAAAGTGCCTGTTGTGCCCTGGCCAGGTAGCACAGTTGGTTAGAGCATCATCCTGCTACTCCAAAATTGTGGATTTGATCCCTGGTCATGGCACAGAGAAGAATCAACCAATGAATGCATAAATAAGTGGAACAACAAAATGATGTCTCTTTCTCTCTCTCTTCCCCCCTTCCTCTCTCTCACAAATCAATTAATTAAAAAATTGAAAAAAAAAGTGCCTGTTGTTATAATGCTGGCACTTAGCAGTTACCACTTTTAAAGAACACTTTATTACAGTTAACTATTTTTAAGAATAACTGCCACTATTGTTCTACAGGGCCGACCAATTTGAGTATGTAATGTATGGGAAAGTGTACAGGATTGAGGGAGACGAAACTTCTACAGAAGCAGCCACACGTCTGTAAGTTCCTTGGTCTTGTGAGAACCCTTTTGTCCCACTCTGTTCTGAGAATTTGGGCCATGCTTCTGCCTCCTGTGTTGGGTCCCTCACCTCAAGCACCTCAGACCTAAGTGGGACCCTGAAAGAAACTTCTGGGAACAGTTTTCAGTCTGAAATGTAGGCTGCACACTTTGCTTTTTGTCAGGGCCTCGACCCTGGTGATCCAAATGAGAAATTGATAATCTTGCTTTGTGCAATGCAAAGGAAGGTTGCTTCCACGGGAAATAAATGCAGCATTAAATAATTAAACTGATAGGCGTGTGTGTATGTTGCTACTCTGCAACCCAATCCCTGGTTCTTTGGTTTCCCTGCCCAGTTATTTTTTCTTTTCTTTAAAATCTTATTAAAACAATAGTGCCCTGTGTAAGAAATATGAAAAGCAGAGAAGTAATGTCAAGCAAGAATTAAAGTCACCTATAATTCCATACCCAGAGGGAACCTTTTACATAAACATTTTTTAATAATTTAGGTTTTTTTCCCTGTGTGCTTTTTGCTTTGAGATCATGTTTATTACAATGTTTTCTTCTCATTTTGCCTAATAATGTTATGTAAAACATGTTTCCTCATGTCAGTTGAAAGCTTTCCTAAACATTTGAATAGCTGTATAACATTCCTGTAAATGGATATATCTTAATTGTTTTGGCCATTTCCTTTATTCTGGGCATGTAATATTTTCTACCTTTTGCTAATATAAAGAACACTGCCTTGCACAGGTCTGTGCATTCATCTTTGAATTTTGGTTCTTAATGACAAAATGTTAGAAAGGTGCCCTCTTTTCTTAGGCTGGGCTGGAGAGCTGCTGAGTAACAGCTGGTCCAAAGCTTAGACTCATGGGACTGGTCCTTCTGTTTCAGCTCTGCCTATGTGTCCTATGGGGGCCTGCTCATGAGGCTGCAGGGTGATGCCAACAACCTGCATGGATTTGAAGTGGATTCCAGAGTTTATCTGCTGATGAAGAAACTGGCCTTCTGAACCACCTGGGAAGCCAACCTTGCTGCTTAGTCACTCAGGACATGGACATTTGTTCAGGCCTGGGCAGCAGTTGCCGTTGTTCACCTGTTAAAGAGGAGCTGGATCTCTGTCCACCTAAAGATGTGGGGGTGTATCTGTAGGTGGTCTGGACTGAATGGAAAACTGGCCTGTGGGAGAGTGTAAAATGAATCAGAAGTTGTTTTGTGTATATGGTTTTTTACATTAAACTTTATTTTTTTCAGACTTTTCCTTCCCTTGATTTTTTTTTCCCATTTACTTTAAAATCATTTTCCCCCCCAATTTGCCTATGGTTACTATGCCTCTGGCCCATGGCCAGGTGATGACATGGGAGGTGTAGGATCTTTCCCAGCCTTTTGGTATCTGGGTTCAGCGTTTCTCAGACGCCTGGCTGACTATCCCTGCCTGACATTTATCCTCCAAAGTGATTTTTTGTGTGAGTGTCATGCTTTTGGCTCCTGGGGGCATCCCAAGCCAAGAAGATAACACCCGTTTGTCATAGAAGTTTGAATTGGCAAGGAGCTCCGCTCGTGTTCTCCCAACACTTTTAAGTCTCTGAAGAAGTCAAATGATGTTGACTTGAATGAGTCACTTGTGTAGCCTGGAAATGTTCATCCTCTTTATGGAAGCTTTGGGTAGAGGCTTTTAGACATAAGCATAGGGTACGACCATGAAGAGAATAGGAAGAGTGGATTTGGTGGTTACAGGAGCAGGTGGAGGAGCTGGCTGTCTGCTCTGTATTCTAGTGGTGACCTGGAGGGAGGGTGAGTGGTGTTCCTTACCAGTGACACTGAACAGATTGCTGCTGCACAGACCAGTGAAGTGGACAGGGCACTAATACCAGTGAGGCTGGCAGTCCGGTGCCAGTGCCCAGGACAGTGTAGCAGCCTGACTGCAGTCACTAACTTGAGAGTAGGGAAGAGCGCTGTTGGGGAAGTGGAGATGCTTACAAGGTCCCCAGCATGGGAGCTGGCTCTTCAGCCTGGCATTCGAGGTCTCTGAGAATGTGTCCGGGACTCTGATGTCCCCTGGGAAATTCATGGTAACTATCCAGAAGGATTGTGTGTGTGAAGCAGTAGTCACTTTTGATCTCATTTTGCCAGGGGAGCTGGTCCCCTGGTGGGTTGCCTGGGGTATCTCCTTCCCCATCATTTTCAGGTCTTTCATGAGGTGTCAGAGTATTTAGGAAAATGGATTGAAAATCAATGGTCCCTGCAGGGGGGGAGGTAAAGGTGTTTCTTTTACCCTAGTATGGGGCAGAGAGGGTGGAGAGGGAAATTAGAAATGTAGTGGGGGTTGGAATGAATTTTTATGGAATCCTAAAGCCTTTCCATGGAGTCAAATTTGGAGGGGGGGCGGTTTGTGGATGGAGAAGGATGAATTTAGGTTAAGTGAGGGAACCTAATTACCAGTAGTAGTTTGTGGGTGACAGAGCCGACTGTCCTAGCTGCTCTGGGGTGGTAGAAGGAAGGGAAGTGACATACAGTTGAATAGAGATAGGAATGTCCTGGTTTTAGGGGAGAGAGAGAGAGAGAGAGAGAGAGAGAAGGGAAGAAGAGACAGAATGATTTGGGAATGGGTTAAATCTTCAATAGGGGCAGATTAATTCACACTGGAGAATCCCATTAGTTATTTGTATTTGCCTTGGAGTAAATCAAATGCCAATACTTGATGCCTGAAACTTTGGCTACATGCTTCTTGCAGTTTTGCTATCTTTGTCTCGTCTGACTGTGTTGAGAACCCCTAATTCTTTGTCTCTGGTCCCTTTGGCTTATCTGGTCCTGGGTGCTGCCTATTCCATGTAACATAAAGGATTTCCTTTTATTATTAGATTTAATCTACCTTAGTACTGCAGTTAATTAAAATTTCCACTTTCCAATTCCCTTGACTGCATCCTGGAATTTGTAGTGTGGATGAACTGATTCTTTCCCATGCAGAAACTGACACCATCTGAGATTTGGACAACACTTTCAAGATTTGTGCATTTGTTGATTCCTTCTCCATGGCAACTGTTCTGTTCGTGATGGGGGAGAGGGACACCTGGAGATGTCTAAATTGGTCACCCCTACCAAGAGCTTTGGTTTTCTACGCAGAACTCTTTTAACTGTTGATGTATTTACTCCTCAAGGACTTGGAAGTTTTTCCCAATAAATAGAATCACTGAATAATATATTGGACAGTGCACCGCACTGGGGACACTATGGGCTCCAGACTAAGGGTGTTTCTTCTTTTCCTGCTTACAGGCTATGAAACCTTTGGGAACTTGCTTGGCTTCTCTGAGCTTTGGTTGGTTTCTTCATGTATAAAATAGAGATGATACTAACTATCTTAAAGAGTCATGTGAGCCTTAACAAATGTAATGTACATAAGGTTCCTGGCACACTGGCTTTCGTTATGTTTTAGAGTGCCTTTTGTGATCCTGGGGTATTTGTGGCAGTGTTTGGAACTCTTGGTCGCTGGCTCCTCTACCTACACGGCAGCCTTTCCTCTCCTTTTGGTGGGGAGGACGAGGTAAAACTTCCATTAGTTTTTCCTACAGGAGTCTCTAGGTAATGCTGACCTTTGCGGTGGAGTTTTTGTTTCGGGCAATATAAACTTCCTCTTCCTAAGCACCAGGACGACATTTATTGGCAAAGTCCCATAACCCTGGCTTCTTTTCTAGGGACCCCCTAACAGAGTTTACAGCGGTCACACATGGTTGCTTTTTAGGTAACATTCACTTCTGGGAATTGGGAAATGAGCCTTCAACTTATACTTGAGTTGGACTTGTCTCTCCTGCTGTGTGAGCCCCAGGAGACTGACTGATGGCACTTCCTGCACTTCCCCCTGACCTCCACAGGAGGGAGGCAGGAACCCGGGCCCGGTGAAGCTTCCTGCTGGGCTGCTGAAGCTGTTGCTGTTTGCTCAGCTGTCACATCCAGGTCTCTTAGCTGAACTGTCTGCACAGGCTTACCTGAGGTGTGAGGCACTCCTAGACTTCCTGTTAGCTTTTCTTTTTTTCTTTTTATTTTTTTGCTTTTTTTTTTTAAGGGAGGGGCAGAACTATTGCCCCCGGAGACGAACATCTTTCTCTTTCTCTTCAGTTAGACTTTGGGTACTCTCATTCATTCTTTATATATCCAGGCTCAGTTTTGTCTATTATGTAGGGACAGTCTTTCTTTGAGATAACTTCTCATTCATTCCTCAAGAGGAAGAATCTCCTAAGAAAAGATCAGCATCCCATTGAGAATGATGGTAAAGGGGGTAAAGAGACTAACTTTAGTTCTGAATAGAAAACCAAAGCTTGTTTTTTTGTTTTCTCGCATAAGATTAGTTTCTACCTCTGTTCAGAGGCCTGGCCAGGCCAGGCCTTTGAGGAATCATATGAAAAAGCATATGGAGGATTCATAATGTGTACACTCGTGCAGAAAATAGACCAAAAGTAACTAGCTGCTCTGCTGAATATTATTGATAGCTTAAAAAAATAGTTTCTGGTGTTTTAAACAGTGAAAAATGATCCCATTTCCCGTCCTGTGCGTTCACCTTTACCAGGGCTTGGTGTTTCAGGTGAAAGCAGGAAACCCGGTACAGCTGCGGTTGTCTCCTAGGGCCTCTCCTCCGGTGAGAGGATTACACACGGGAGACAATGCTGAGGTTGGCAGTGCCTGAGAACCTTACTCTTCCTGAGACAGATCCTGAAAGTGAGGGTGGGCTGCAATTAGAAAAGGACTAGTTGGGTTGGGCATGATAGCAGAGGGGTCAGGGAGAGGGAGCTGGAGCTTGACCATGGGGGTAGGCAAAGTGGGTGAAGGAGAGAAGAGTGTATGTTGTTCAAGGGGAGGGTGGGTTAGGGAAGGAGAGTATCCAGGCTGGAGGTCGGGTGGCAGGGAGTCTGTCTCCGAAGTTCCTGGATGAATGCTCAGGGCTCCCAGGGCCCCGGGTGAGGGTCCTGGAAAGAGTCCATGAGTTCCATTCAAAGGTCCGTGTGTCCTGTTCAGGTGTCCCGGGATTTGGTCTAGGGATGTGGAGGTTTGGTTCAGCAGGCCAGGAATCCTGGCTCTGAATCCCTGCAGCCTCTTCGGAAGTCCAGAGCCGGTAGTTTTGGCTGAGACACTGGAGTTTGTCTCCAACAATCCAGAAGTCCTGTTTGGAAGCTTGTTCAGTGTGAGGAACAGAGAGGTACTGCGTGGGACAGCTGTGGTGGGTAGGGCCTGCTTGGCGCAGAGGGTGGGCCCTACTGCATGCAGCAGGAAACGCGCCTTTCCTCGGAGCAGCTGTTGGAAGCTCAGGAAGATGGCACTGGGATCCTTGTGAGCTGTCGTCCTGCCCTGTGGAGGAAGCTGAGGGCAGAGGATGGGCCTGAGGCCACAGACCTGGGCCAGATATCATGCCTCCCTTGTCTTAGGTCCCAGGCTTTATGGCTGGGAGGGAGCATTCCTTGGTAGGTCATCTCTTCTACCTCAAGATTCCTAGAATTTCTCTTCCCTCAGGTCTTCTAAGGAGACTGAATCAGAAAAGAAGGACAATTTCTATAGTTCCCTTGACTGGGGACTTACCTGGGTTCCAAGGAGGCCCTGCAGGGCCCCAAGGAGGAGGCGGACCCGTCCAGAAAGCTGTCCCAGTAGGGATGAGAGGCAAGTGGGTCTCAGCTGTCCCCGTGCTGCCATCACTCCCTCCAGCAGAAGGGCTGTTGCTCCCAGAACGTCCTGTGCCTTGGTCTGTTCCTGGGCGAGAGATGGAAGAGAGAAGTGTACTGCTTCAAAGGGCGTGCTAATAGCGGGCGGGGAGCCTGTAGGAGTAGCCAGCAGAATGAATCATAGAAGCTGAGAATTGGACAGGACCGGGGTCCCACCCAGCACAGGAATTCTCTCACAGTCTCCCGACAATTGGTCATCAGCCTCTGCTTGAATAATTCCAGTGTCCGGTAAACCAGCCTGGCCTTACACTTAAGTTTAGTCAGAAAAGCACTTCTTTTTTTTCTTCCTTCTTACATTATACTGAAATCTGCCCCTTTATAGCCTTCACCTCTAGGCTCCAGTGTTCCAAATCTCTGCTATAAAATCTTAGGGTCACGTGACTCTTTCTTAACTCAATGCAGAGATGAGACCATCATAAAGAGCCTAAAGATGAAGAGAAGGGGCTTCTGATAAATGGCAGAGCTGGAACCACAAGGGCCCTAGGAACTGCCCTTCCTTAGCCCAGTCCCCCTAGAAGGTCTGAGGGAAGGATGGGATCCCAGGGATCTTCTGGGTAGAAAAGTGGACTTACCAAGGAGTGTCCCTTTTCAGTAGGTTTTCTGAGTGTCAGACTAAAGCACTTCATGCTATCCCACAAGACTGCCACTTCCTGCAAGCTAATCAGGCAGGCTTCTTTTTTAAAAAATCATTCCTCTCATGTTTTCTAACCTTTTACTGTTTGGGTTGCTCCCTCTGGACACATGCTAGTTTAACGGATCCCTCTGAATAAATCAGCATGTGTCTAGAGGAGGATGTCTAATACTCAGTCCAGTCTTTTTAAGTGCAGTCTACTTAGAATTTTATAGGAATATTTCTACATTGTTGGTGCTAAACATATAAAGTGGCCCAGAACTGCTAGCTTTTAAAGTAGCTGCTTCAATAATGTCACACGTGAAGTTTGGGGTCAACTCAACCTTCTCAGATCTTTCTTGTGGAAAATTCTAGCCCTGACTGGTGTGGCTCAGTGGATTGAATGCTGGCTTGTGAAACCAAAGGGTCACAAGTGTGATTCCCAGTCAGGGCACAGTGGATTGAGTGCTGGCTTGTGAAACCAAAGGGTCACTGGTTTGATTCCCAGTCAGGGCTTAAGCATGGGTTGCGAGCCAGGTCCCCACTTGGGGGCATGCAAGAGGCAACACACATTGATGTTTCTCTCCCTCTCTCCTTTCTTCCCCCTCTCTCTAAAAAAAAGTCGTTAAAAAAAAAAGAAAGAAAATTCTAGAGCCAGCAGTTTATATGAGGGAAGCAGGGGCATTGTGACCTGAGAGCTAGAATAGGACTTTACTCAATTACTCTATGCATGTAGAATTTTTTGTATATCTCTTTTATATTTTACCATGTTTGAACCTCGCCTTTCAGTGATTTTAATCTTGATTGTGTCTTTTGTTAGTTTTGTTGTGGTTCCCAGCTTTGTGTCATCAGTGGATGGCAGATCAATCTTACTTCTTCATGTCAGCTTAAGAAGCTTGAATGGGAATAAGTCAAAGACAGGGCCCATGAGAGACTTCTCTCCAGCTTTTCATGGTATTCAGCTTTGAATCTATTTAATGTACTGGGACAGCCAGCCATCATCTTGTCCAAAGGATATTATCATAGTAGAATGTAGATTGGGTTAGAGTGGCCAAGCTGAAGGTGAGATATTTTCAGGGAGCCCAGGAATTTTGAAGAATCCATGGGAAGCAGTGGGAAACTGATGAAGACAGACTTAGAAAAACCAAGGGAAGAGATGGCTTTCTTACCGTCTGGGTTTTCCATTCTCCCAAGCTAAAGTCCACAGCAGGCAGCAGGACAGGTGTGGACAAAGGGTTAATGTCTGGGCACTGACTCTGTTGAAAAAGATTGGTGGGGAGGGGGAGAGAAGGGCGCTGAAACAGAGGGGGAGGATGCGACCCAATGACCAGGAGGGGCTTCCATGAGTAATATATCAGGCCAGAGCTTTTAAAGGAGAGCTTGATTGCAAATCATAATCCCTGTCAGGAGTGGTGATCAGGAGGTGGTGGTCTTACCAAAGGCCACTGGAAGAATAGTGACTGGATCAGGGAGCTAGGGGAAGTGATGGGAGCTGAGGGTGTCTTGCCAATTAAATGGATAGAGGGGACAATGCTTGGGGATTCTCACCAGTCTGCTGTGAAGGACATGAGAGTCACGTAGCAGTTTATTTAGGAGCCGGGGATCACAGGCAGGAGGAGCCGGGCTGGACTGACTTGGTTTTGCAGTTAGGAGAAGCATGACCACGAGGAGCAGTTCTTAGACGAGGAGAGGTGAGGTTGAAAGGGGTGGATAAGGAAGAGATCATTGTTGGGTGGTGGTCCAGGAATTTCCGTTTAGGATCCAGACCTGAAATCTGGCACTCTGATGTCTTATTCCTGGGAAATTGGGTTTCCCCACCACCAGCGCAGCATATTTCCTTGCTCTTTTCCCCTCTACCATGTTTTGATTTGGCCCTCAGCCCCTAAAGTGTGTTCTTACCAGTCCGCTCCATTCTGGCCAGGCTGTCTTGTTGGAGTGGCTCCCTGTATGGGGCCTCTCCCCTGAATCCTTCCTGGGGCCATGGAGGCGGCTTGGGCTCTTGTACTTCTGGGCAGAGTGGGGTGGGGCACGGCAGAGGTGGGCCACGGAAGAGGGCCGGGACTCTATCCTGCGAGTGACAGGAATAATGAACACTTATTCAAGTTTTAAGGAAGAGACTCTCTCTGGCTGGGGGAACAGATACTGGGAGGGCTTGAGATGCTGACCAGCCTAGAACAGCTAAAGCTCTGAGTGCTCCCACGTTTTCTTGGGATCGTAGCATATGGTGTATCCTCTTTGTCAGGGTTTCTCAGTGAATCCGATAGGAGTTTTGTGCCATGCCCCCCTGCCCAGAGCAGCAGGGGGCCTGGTCGGGGGGGGGGGGCAGGGGGAGGATATGTGTACACACACACACACACACACACACACATCTTAATTGTCCTCAAATTCTGAGCAACCTTGGTTGTTTGGTTGGAGAAAATCTGGGATGGGGTTAGAGGATGAAGTATTGGGGCAAAAGCCTGGGGAAGAGAGGGGGGAAAGGGGTACAGGGCTAGGATGAGGAACTAGCATGTACAACGCGTTGAGGGGTAGCTTGGGTAGTGGGGCTGAGGAGTGAAATTAGGAAAAACAAAACAAAACAAAACCAAAACTGGACTACTAGAGGACAGTGATTAAAAGAAGATGGTGTGGGAGAAATTAATCTCTCATTCTTTCCCTATTTACACCCACACATAAAGCGTCTTGGAGTTTTTCTTTGCACTCCAAGTTCTGAAATACTGGGTTTTCCAAGGAAAAGAGATAGGCTAGCATTCCTGAGACTTCCTTTCTGAGGCAAGTTGTCCAGGAATGGATGCCTACGGAATGAGGTGATGCCCGCCTTACATGGCATACCTCACCTTGGCCGCCCACCATGTCTGTCTCATAGCCCACACCTTCCTCCCTGCCCCCTCTTCAGACCCTTCCGGTTCCTTCACAGGACCCCCCACATGGTTTCCTCCTTCTTTCACAAGTTGTGCAAAGAGGCCTGCACCTGATTCAATATTGGGATTTCCTGTAGGTCTGTCAACATGCATGAGCCCCCCTCCCATTACCCTCTCCTGTGCCCTGGCTTGCCTGACCCAGCTTCCCAGCTCCTGGATTCAGAACCTTAAGCTAAAAAGGAATGACTGGGTAAGAATGGGGATTGGAGCTGTGTCCATTTTGCTGCTGTGTTCCCTAAGCCCTAATATACTTCCTCTCTCATTTTTTCCCTGAGCCCATGTCCCCGATCCTTAGTGCCAGCCAGGACTGCGCTGTATTCCACCAAGTCTGTGATCAGTCCCTCAGAACCCAGCACCCCACCCCCTACCCCTGCTCTGCTCTACTCCTCCCATTCTGGGAAGGCCACTCTCTTCTTGACAAAGGTCAGTGTCTGTAGGTTCCAGTTTGCCTGCCCCTCCCCCAGCTGAGGGCCCAATTCCTCTTTCCTGTCCTTCTAACCCTCATTTAGCGCCAAACCCTGCGTGCCACTCACCTGGTGGAGAAGGGCTCCGGGGCACAGGTGCAGCGCAGGCAGCACTCCGGGGAACAGATGGGTAGGAAAGCCTGTGGCGTTTGGGCATAGCCCCTTCACGGCAGTGGAGTCACAGGCCTGCCCAGGCCACTTCTGCCCAATCACAGAGCAGGGAGCCACCAGACACTGGTGAGGGCCCCCGGAAGTGACGCCTCTTCTTCCCACCCTCGCTGGACCTGGAGCCCCTGCTTGGACCATGGTCTACAAGCAGAGCCCAGCTCCTCCACCCACACACAGTACCTGGATGATCTTTCTTTTTCTAGGAAACAGGCAACATTAAACCTGGCTGGAGAGGAGATGGGAGGGGAACAGTTTTTTTTTCCAGGAGGAATCTAGCAGGACATTTTTGTTTCCAGTTCTTGCCTGGCCCAATTCCTTTTCCCTGGATACCACACCTGTTGCCGAAATCCAATGAGGCTCTTTCTTTCCTGCTTTTCTCTCCTATAACCCCTAGGAGGTCACCCCTTATAGCCCCTTTCTGAGTGGGAACGGGAGTATTGCTTGTATTAGAGAATGCCCCTGTCAGGGGTCAGTGTTATGGGGAAAGGGTTCGGACAGTTTGAAAGGACTGCACGGTGAGGGGCATGTGCTTTGGGCTCAGGTGCTGCTCTGCTGGGGCCACTGGCTCAGACAGCTAAGCTCACTTATCTCTGCCCGTGTCCTCCTTTTCTTGCCCTGTCTTTCTCCCTCTTCCATCCCCTACCATTCTGCCTGTGACAAGAGGAATAACCAGGCTCATGTGACCCTGTCTTACTTAGGAAAGACAGCTGCTGAACTCCCTCCCCCCCATACCTCCTGCTGGCCTGGCCGCCCTCTTCCTTTGGCCCTGGCTCTAGTTCCTTTGCTTTCCCCTCAGTTGCAGTCTCCCCACAACCTCTGTCCTCAGGGCCTCCTGGCCTGACACTGTTCCCAACACCCCTCCAATCTGCCCCCCCACTTCTTTATCAGGCTCTTTCCTTCTCCTCCTCCCCAGGATGGGGCTGTCTGCTAAGAAGTATGGCCTAGATCCCGGAATTCTCCATTTCAGCCAGATGAGATGCTTCCCAAGATTAGGAAGGAGGGTGTTGGGGTGATTGGGATGCTGTGTGGGGGTGGGACAGGACAGAGCGGCTGTCACAACTGGGAAACCCAGACAGAGGAGGTCGAGGTCCCAGGGAGAGGCTGATGGCCCCCTGGGTGAAGGGAGAGGGTGAGAAAGCATGTCAGGCTGGGGATGATGATGGTCGGATGGGCTTGAGGACAGGTTACACAGTAGGGAGGGAAACACTGTCACCAGACGGAAAGGATACAGCCTGTTTCCGGCTAAGTTCCTGTCCTGGCGAACCATAGAATGAGGCTAGACCTCAGAGAAGAGGTAGAGATACATGCTAGGCAGTGGAAGTGGGTGCTGTGGGGTTTGAGAGGTGCTAGGAGCCCAGAATCAGGGGCAGACCAGTTGACCGGCCTCCCCTGCACGGTGTCATCCTTGAAGACAAGTCTTCATCCTTCCCCCAGGAACCGAATCCCAGGCCTCAGGCCTAGCCTTTGCCCCTCCCTGGCCTGGGGCTCTCATCCTGAGCCGGACACGCACCTCCTGCCTAGTCCAGCCACCCCGTGGCCGCTGCGAAGGGGGAGTGGGAGGGGGGGCTCCAGACCTGCCTCGCCCCCCCTCTTCGCGCCCCCCGGTCCTTCCTCTCCCCCTACCCCCTCCGCTCCCCCTTCCACTCGAGCCCCTCCCTCCTCCCTGCCCGGTCCCAGCCCCTCCCTCCCCTCCCCCACTCGCGATCCGGGCCGCGGCTGCTGGGCCGGACCCCCGGGGCTCAGCCCGGCCCCTCGCCGAGCCACCGCCGCCGCCTCCCCGTTTGCTGAGGAGGAGGCCCCCGGCCGGGGCGCGGAGCGCGGGGCATAAAGCGGGCCAGCGCCGGCGCCCAGGGCACTAGAGCCCTGTACGGCCCAGGTCAGCGCCCGCCCGCCCGCGCGGCTCCTGGCTGCTCCTCCCGCCTGGCCCCGCGCCTACTCCGCGGCCGTCCGTCCGACGAGCCCCTCGCACCGCCCGGGCCCTGGCCCCGGCCCCCTCCCGCCGCACCGCCCCCGGCCCGGCCCTCCTCCCTCCCTCCTCCCTCCCCGGCTCCCTCCTCCCTCCCGCCTCCCCAGCTGTCCCGTCCGCGTCATGCCGAGCCTCCCGGCCCCGCCGGCCCCGCTGCTGCTCCTCGGGCTGCTGCTGCTCGGCCCCCGGCCGGCCCGCGGCGCCGGCCCCGAGTCCCCCGCGCTGCCCATTCGGCCCGAGAAGGAGCCGCTGCCCATTCGGGGAGCGACAGGTAGGTGGGAGTCCCGGGGAGGTGCGAGAGGAGAGTCGGCTTGGGGCAAGTCCATGCCCTCCGGAGGGGGCGCGGGCGCAGGTGGTTTGGCGCGGCGGGTGGCCTAGCGGTGGGCGGGGGCCGCGAGGCTGGCGGTGCCTGGGGACCCAGGGCCCGCCGGCAGCGCCCAGGGCGGGCACACGCCAGGAGCGGAGCGGGACAGCAGCTGCCAGCCAAGCCCGTCCCCGCAGGCTGCTCCTTCGGCGGGAAGGTCTATGCCTTGGACGAGACGTGGCACCCAGACCTGGGGGAGCCCTTCGGGGTGATGCGCTGCGTGCTGTGCGCCTGCGAGACGGTGAGTGGCCGGGCCCTCGCGGGTGGGGGAGCGCTGGGGTCCTGGGACGTCGGACTGGACTCGAGGTGCGGAGAAGAAAGAAGCGAGCCTGCAGATATTTACGATATTTTCTTGGCGGAGGACTGGGGGCGGAAGCTCCCCTTTCAGGTCTCAGGTATTGACTATTATTGATCGCCCACTATGTGTCAGGCTCTTTGCCAGCTCCCTTTCATCTCTCGCTCTTTCACTTGGTAACTCCTAGTACAGCCCTCCTAAGCGGATATTGTTATTATCCCCATTTTCCAGATAGCGTCCCCAAGGCCCAGGGAGCTTAAGTAACTTGTCCAGGGTCCTGCAGCTTCCAAGTAGCAGAGCGGTCTGCCTCCCTGGGACCACCTTGCCTTGGTCCCTGACTGTCCCACCCTCCCCAACTCCCCAGCTCGTTCCGTCTTAGGGCTTGGCGTCTTACACTCAGTTTTCCTGGCTTTTCGCGAGCAGCCTCAGTGGGGTCGCCGCTCAAGGGGCCCGGGCAAGGTCAGCTGCAAGAACATTAAACCCGAGTGCCCAGCCCTGTCCTGCGGACAGCCGCGCCAGCTGCCGGGACACTGCTGCCAGACCTGTCCCCAGGGTGAGGCCCGCGCCGTGGTGAGGGGAGGGCGGCATGGCGGGGGTACTTGATCCTGAGCCCCGCGCCTGGGGCGGATCAGCGGGTGGAGCGGCCAATCTGCCCTCCCAGTACCCACCTGAATCCGGGGGCCCCTACCCCTGACGCAGAGCGCAGCGGTCCCGAGAGGCAGCCCACAGGCCTGGCCTTCGAGTACCCGCGGGACCCAGAGCACCGCAGCTACAGCGACCACGGGGAGCCGGGCGCTGAGGACCGGGCGCGCGGAGATGGCCACACGGGTACGCAGGGACCGGGCGGGACTGGGGTCGTGGTTTTGGCCTGGCCGCCACAGCGGGTGACGATACTAGGAACATCTTCCTCCCCTCGCAGACTTTGTGGCGCTGCTGACAGGGCCGAGGTCGCAGGCCGTGGCACGGGCCCGAGTGATACTGCTGCGCTCTAGCCTGCGTTTCTCCATCTCCTACCGGCAGTGAGAAAGGGGAAGGAGGGAGGAGGGCTGGGCTGGGCGCTGGGGCCGGAGGTTTGGGAGGGGCTGGAGGGGCTGGAGGGGCTGCTGCGGGCCCGGGCTCAGAGTCGGTGCTCACCCTTCCCCTCATTCCCAGGCTCGACCGCCCAACCCGAATCCGCTTCTCAGACCCCACTGGCAACGTCCTGTTTGAACACCCTGCAGCTCCTAACCAAGATGGTCTGGTGAGATGATGCCATTTACGAGTGTTTATGCAGTTTGGGCACTGCGCTGAGAGTGTGCTCTGCCTGCATCGCCTCCTTTGGTCCTCACGACTGTGACCGTCCGGGTGGGAGGAAAGCACTGACGTTATACGCCCATTTCACAGATGAGGGAATTGAGGTTCAGCAGCAGAATGTGATTTGCTCAAGCTGACACCAGCATCTGGATCCAGGGTGCCTTATTAAACTTCCTAGGAGGGCCTGGGGGCTCCTTCCCATATTCCGTCCTCACCAGAGCTGGGCCCCTGAGCTGGCCTGCCCTACAGACTGCCTGAGCTGGGTTGTCTTGCCTCTCTGCTCTAGGTCTGTGGGGTGTGGCGAGCAGTGCCTCGGTTGTCTCTGCGGCTTCTTCGGGCAGAACAGCTGCATGTGGCACTTGTAACACCCAGTCATCCTTCTGGGGAGGTCTGGGGGCCTCTCATCCGGCACAGGGCCCTGGCTGCAGGTGAGGGGAGCAAACAGCCTCTGGGCATGAAGTTCTGTCTTCTCCGTCTCCAGGGATAGAGTGGGCAAGCAGGGGACTTTCTGATGGGCTCTCATGGTCCTCCCTCCCCCAGAGACCTTCAGTGCCATCCTGACCCTGGAAGGCACCCCGCAGCAGGGCATAGGGGGCATCACCCTGCTCACTCTCAGTGACACAGAGGATTCCTTGCACTTTTTGCTGCTCTTCCGTGGGCTGCTGGAATCCAGGAGTGGGGGTAAGTGGGATATGGGGAGGGCATGTGAGGAGGGCACCTAGCTCTCAGAGGTGCCTACATGTTCCATGGTTGCAGGACCAGCCCAGGCTCCCTTGCGGCTCCAGATTCTACACCAGGGGCAGCTGTTACGAGAGCTCCAGGCCAATGCCTCAGCCCAGGTGAGTAAAGGTCTGACCTTTCCTGCCACCTGCTCTGGCCTCTTGCTGTGTCCACCATACCCTGCTCTGTCCCTAGGAGCCAGGCTTTGCTGAGGTGCTGCCCAACCTGACAGCCCAGGAGATGGACTGGCTGGTGCTGGGGGAACTGCAGATAGCCCTGGAGAGGGCAGGCGGGCCCGGGCTGCGTATCAGTGGACACATTGCTGCCAGGCAGAGCTGCGATGGTGAGGCAGGGTGGAGCCTGGCACCCTGGGCACACACAACTGAGAGGCACAGATAAGTGCCAGGGCATGGCCAGGGTGGGTATGGGAGGAATCCTGGGGGCTGGGGGTATGAATGGCCATGGGGCCAGCCTGCCTCCGCTTGTCCTGCCCCTCTGCAGTCCTGCAAAGTGTCCTTTGCGGAGCTGATGCCCTGATCCCAGTTCAGACGGGTGCGGCTGGCTCAGCCAGCCTTACACTGCTAGGAAACGGCTCCCTAATCTACCAGGTAAGAGTCAGGGGCTGTAGGAGGTGGGAGGGGTAGGGGGATGTGGAGCTTTCACCTGCAGTAGTTCAGGCCCCAGGCCTTCTCTGTCACTCCAGTTTGCCCTTCCCAACCTTGCCCACCAGGTGCAAGTGGTAGGTACAGGCAGTGAGGTGGTGGCCATGACCCTGGAAACCAAGCCTCAGCGGAGGGACCAGCGCACTGTCCTGTGCCAGATGGCTGGACTCCAGCCGGGAGGACACATGGTGAGTGCTGCAGGCAGAGCTGGGCTGCAGGGCCCGTGTGCCGTGGCTGTCGGTATGGGGGCTGTGGGAAGTTAGATTGGAAGAGCAGAGATGTTTAACATCATTCACTCGCTCACAGCCTCTCTCACTGATGCATTGATCCACTGGACACATTTGTAGTGAGACTCAGGCCAGCGCCTAGATAGAATACAAAGGCATCAGATCTGGCCTCTGTCCTCAGCAAGCTCATGTCAAATGAGAGAAGTTGGATAGGGAGACCAGGGCAGAAGATCATATAATAATGTGAGAGCAATGGCTGCCACTTATTGAGCCTTTCTATGTGCCACTTACTATACTGATTGCCTTATATATATTTTTTGGCTCTCATGGTTGATGAAGTGAAGGATCAGAGAGGTTAACTCCTCAAAGTTGTTACACAGGTAGAAAGTAGCAGAGGAGGGACTTGAACCTGGGTCTGCAAGGTTCTTTTTTTTAAAGATTTGATTTAAAGGGAGGGAGAAAGAGAGAAACATTGGGCATGCTCCCAAATGGAGATCTGGCCAGGCGTGTGCCCTGACCGGGAATTGAACCTGTGACCTTTTGCTTCACAGGCTGGCACTCAATCCACTGAACCATACCAGCCAGGACCTGCAAAGTTCTTATTCAGTGCTACTGGTGTTGGGAAGCGTCTGTGGATATAGTGGGGGCTCAAAACATAGAAAGACTTCAGAATCTTGGGCTTGTGTGAAAGCTGAGGAGGGGTTCATCTGGGATTCGGCAGGCTCTAGCTAGGGCTCACCCTTCACTGCCCCCTAGGTTGTGGGTGTCTGTCTTGGGCTGGGTGCCCGAGGGGCTCATATGCTGCTGCAGAATGAGCTGTTCCTGAACGTGGCCACCAAGGACTTCCCCGATGGAGAGTTGCGGGGGCATGTGGCTGCCCTGCCCTACAGTGGGCACAACGCCCGCCATGACAGTGAGTGCCCCAGGGGTCTGCCTGCCTTTTGCTGTCCTCTCATCAGTGACTCAAGCATGGGAGGGGTGGTGCTGGAGGGCCAGAGCCTGGTGTGTCTTTCTCTTCCTGAGCTCTAGGTTTGCATCTGGAGAGGTGCAGGTGGGGATGTAAAGGGCGGCCCTACCAGGAGACCCTCCCTGTCGCCACGGCGCGAGGGTCTAACGCTTGCTGCTTCTTCAGCCTTGGACAGTGTCTGCCAGCTTGTGGAGCCTATGCTGGGGGTCATGGGCAATGCCGGGATTGAGTGGCTGCTCTAGGCCACCTTTTCATCTGTCACCTCTCCTTTGTTTGGATCTAGCACTGCCCGTGCCCCTGGCAGGAGCTCTGGTGTTGCCCCCTGTGCAGAGTCAGGCAGCAGGGCATGCCTGGCTGTCCCTGGATACCCACTGTCACCTGCATTATGAAGTGCTGCTGGCTGGGCTTGGTGGCTCAGAACAGGGCACTCTTACTGCCCATCTCCTTGGTCCCCCTGGGATGCCAGGGCCCCGGCGGCTGCTGAAGGGATTCTATGGCTCAGAGGTGAGGATGTGGTGGTGAGAGGCAGCTGGGAAAATATCTTCTTTTTAGTGTAAAGGGCTGTGTGGGTCTGTGTGTGCGTGTGCAGAGAGCAGACTGCCTGGAACAGCAGAGCTGGCACGTGCTCGGGGTCAGACAGACCTGGCTGTGACTCTGACCCAGTCTTTTATTATTATTCATTCTCTTCCTGTGTTCTTGTCTGGGGGGATCCCTTGGATAGTATGTACTATCCTGGGCCTCCAGAGGAGTAGATGGGATAACCAAGTTCCCTGAAGTGGGGCGGGTTGCCATGGACTTGCTGTCAGAGAGACTGGGCTTCTGAGCTCCGTACCACTGCTAATGGGCTTGCTACCCTGGAGACTTTATTTAACCTCCCTCGGTCTTAATGTCCACATCTGCAAATTGGGAACAGAAGGCTCAGCCCTCGAGTGCCTCGTTCCCATCTCTTGTCCTGTCACTCACAGGCCCAGGGCGTGGTGAAGGACCTGGAGCCCGAGCTGCTGCGGCACCTGGCGCAGGGCACTGCCTCCCTGCTGATCACCACCAAGGCGAACCCCCAGGGGGAGCTTCGAGGGCAGGTAGGTAGGCAGTGTGGGCCTGTTGGGGTGGGTCAGCTGGGCTGCCACTGTGTGTCTCTGTGTCACCTGCTCTTTCCAGTCCCTTGGGGTGGTAGTGTGTCACACTTCTTTGCTGCTTGGAAGGACAAACCCATACAAGGTGCATAAATAACAAGGCTGGCAGTGCGCCACCTTGTCCCTGGCAGCCAGAATGGTTGCTGTGGCTAATAGCATCTTCCTGGGGCGCAGGGGCACTGTCTGCCCAGTGGGCTGGCTGCTGCTGCTGGAGATGCAAGGGGGAGCCTGGGCGCTGCCTCAGCCCGCCTCTCCTCCCAGGTGCACATCGCTAACCAATGCGAGGTGGGCGGCCTGCGTCTGGCTGAGGCCGGGGCCCAGGAGCCCAGGAAGCCCGGGGCTTCCGATGCAGCAGCAGCTGCACTGCCCGCATTGCCCGCTGTGCTCAGCCCTGATGCTCCAGTGCCTGTCAAACCCGGTGGCCCCTGGAGAGCCCGAGACTCCAACACCTGCTTCTTCGAGGGGCAGCAGCGCCCCCATGGGGCTCGCTGGGCACCTAACTATGACCCGCTCTGCTCACTCTGCACCTGCCAGGTAGGAGGCCCAGAAGGGCGTGCTGGGGCCTGGATTGTGGGGCAAGGGTTCCGGTCAACCTCCCACGTCTCCCTGCAGAGACGCACTGTGATTTGTGACCCTGTGGTGTGCCCGCCGCTCAGTTGCCTGAGCCCAGTGCAGGTGCCAGACCAGTGCTGCCCTGTGTGCCCTGGTGAGTGCCATGCAGGGGTGGAGGGGGCCATGGAGAGTCCGCCCCTGGGGGATGAGGCCTCTAGGGAGAGAAGGAGGCGGTCACCTTCTGCCTTTACTATTTCTTTGGCTCCACAGAGAAACAAGATGTCAGAGACCTGCCAGGGCTGCCGAGGAGCAGGGACCCTGGAGAGGGTGAGCTGGCAGTGTATGAGCCAGGGTGGGAGCCAAGAGGGGCTGTTGGGTGGCACCAGGAAGAGGACAAGTGGGTGAGAGTATATATGGGTGGGGGTGGAGTTTGAGGGACACAGGTTCCAGTGACAGCTGGTAGGCTTCGTTAGAGTCACTGGCCCATGAATGGGCCTTGAGGTCTGATGGTGTGGGGTTGGCCCAAGACTCAAGTCTTGGTTTTGGATTCAGCCAATGAGCTCGGTACTAATGGGAGCTGGGCACTGTCCCCTACCAGGCTGCTATTTTGATGGTGACCGGAGCTGGCGGGCAGCGGGTACCCGGTGGCATCCTGTTGTGCCCCCCTTTGGCTTAATTAAGTGTGCCGTCTGCACCTGCAAGGTATGGCTGCTTACTCCTCTCCAGTGCTGTGACCCAGGTGGGCCTGCAGGGGTGGGGAGGGGCTGCGAGAAGAGGAAAGCCCAGCCTAGGTGAGGAGGGCTCAAGGATCGAGATAATATGCGAAAAGTCCTTTGGCTCTGAGGGCTGGCTTTCCGTAGGAAAAGTGCAGGGGCCGACCTGGTGTGAATCTAGCTCTGCCAGCTGACTAGCCTCATGTAACCCCAGGCCCTTCCTGTGCCTTCCTGAGCCATACTTTCCTCTCCTCTAAGCAGATGTGGTAGCACCGACCTTGCAGGGCTATAATGAGGATTTAGTTTAGGTGTATAAAGCTTCATCCCAGGGCCTCTGAGTGAAAGGCCGTGGATATATTAATTGAGGAATGCGGAAGGAGAGGGAGGAAGCAGGAGGCTTGTGTGCTCCCTCTCCTTCCTGACACCCCTCATACAATGGATCCCTACAGGGGGACACTGGAGAAGTGCACTGTGAGAAGGTGCAGTGTCCCCGGCTGGCCTGTGCCCAGCCTGTCCGCGCCAACCCCACTGACTGCTGCAAACAGTGTCCAGGTGAGGGGGGTGGGCACTGAGGCCTCTTGGGCAGATAGGCCCTTCACTGCCTTGTCCTGGGTGAGGGGATACATAGTGAGGGTGATGGAAGGGACTTTTCAGCTAATCCAGTGTTTACCGAGCACTGCTCTGTGCCTAGTCTGGAGCGAGCGTTCTAAACAAAGTGGAAAGATATGCATTTATTAGTGGGCTATGATGGATTCCAGTTCCTGTCCCTCCCATCCATCCATTCATCCATCCATCCATCCATCCATCCATCCATCCATCCATCCATCCATCCAAATTTACCACCTACTAAGTACCAGGAACTGCTAGGTGCTAGAGATAAAAAGGTGAATAAAACCTGGGTGGTAGAGCTCACAGACCTCATATCTGCTGACCTCTTCTTCCTTCCCTCCCTCCCTCCCCTCCAACAGTGGGGTCTGGGGCCCACCCCCAGTTGGGGGACCCCATGCAGGCCGATGGGCCCCGGGGCTGCCGTTTTGCAGGGCAGTGGTTTCCGGAGAGCCAGAGCTGGCACCCCTCAGTGCCCCCCTTTGGGGAGATGAGCTGTATCACTTGCAGATGTGGGGTAAGTGGGGAGTCGGGGGCCTGTGTGAGGTGGGCATCGGAGGCCTAACCTGGAGTAGAGGGACCTCCCCAGGGAGGGCAGGCTTTCCTGAAGAGGCTGAAGGCTACTGTGCCCCAGTGCTGCTGGGGCCCCTTCGGATCTGCTCTGTCCTGCACCAGGCAGGGGTGCCCCACTGTGAGCGGGACGACTGTTCGCTGCCACTGTCCTGCGGCCCAGGGAAGGAGAGTCGCTGCTGCTCCCACTGCACACCCCGACAGTGTAAGTGAGGGGCTCCGCGGGCAGGGGCTGTGGGCTGACCGTGGAATGCTGAAGAGGGAAGGGAGCGCCTGCCGTGGGCGGGAACAGTGCCCTCTGCCTCTCAATTGCCAGTCCATTCTGTCCTCACGGCAACCTTGTGGACTTGTTATTGGTAATCTTTTCTTTACAAGTGAGATTTCTGAAGCTCAGAGGAATGAGGCTACTAGATTAAGGTTATACCACTGGTATGTGCTGACTTGCTTAGAAAGTACTGAGCTTTCTGGGACTAGAACATAGAGACTCGGCTGGGTTCTCCGTGCTGCCTCATTTTCCCTCTCTCCTCTGCTGCTGTTCACTCCCCTCTGTCTCCGGCAGCTGCAGAGACCAGGACAGTTCCAGAGCTGGAGAAAGAAGCCGAGGGCTCCTAGGGAGCAGCTGGAAGGAAGGACGCATGACCAAGAGGATGGGGCTTGGGCTGGGGGAAGGAACGCCGAGGACCCTGCATTCTCCTGCGGGAAACTCAGTGCCTTTGGCTCCTCTTTTCTGCCTCTTCTCTCTCCCCCACTACCTCTGGGAACCACAACTCCATGAGGGGGAGGGGCAGCCAGGGCAGACCAAGGCCATGTCCACTTCAACTCTTGCCCTGCCACCCTCTGGCCTCTGCCTTGGAAGCCCAGTCCCTTTCCTTCTGTACATAATGTCACTGGCTTGTTGGGATTTTTAATTTATCCTCACTCAGCACCAAGGGTCCCCCCACTTCACTCCTGCTGCCCCTGAGCTGAGCAGAGTCATTATTGAAGATTTTTGTATTTATTAAAACATTTTTTTTCAGTCTTGGAGCTAAAGGTTGTTTCTTTGGGGCCAGGGACCCGAGTGGGCCCCAGTGGAGAAGGGCCTGAGAAAGGAGAGACAGACGAACTCTGGCTCCAGGGCCTTTGCTCTGACCCTCGGCGAGCGGGAAGAGGCCTGGAGAGGAAGCAGGACAGCACAGGACAGGCGACTGGCTGGCATGCCTGCTTCCACAGAGAAGCTTGGGACTGTCTCGGAGAGGGACTAGGGCCTCAAGGACGAAGGCAACCTGAGGCAGGATTTAGATGCAAGTTTAGTTTCCACTGGCCTACCCCTGGCTGGCATTTTTGCTAAGCCCGTGTTTGAAGTTGCTCCAAAGGGAGAAAAGTGTAACCAGTCTCTATTTTCTTCATCTAAAATGAGGCAAACACTTCCTGTTATTCTTCTTTCCTGGAAACTAACTGTGCTCTGGACCAGTTCTGGGGAAAATCTGGATCAGAGTGGACTGGAATCAGCCTGAGTCCAGTTCTTGGCTGAGCTCATTTTGGGACAAAGTGATGTGCAGAATAAGCCCCCTTGTCCCTTTCTCTCCTTTCCTGCCACCAGAAAGTGGGCATTCCCACAGACCTCACAGGTTTGTGGGAAACAAGAGCATCAGCGGAGTGATTTAACCTCCTTGAGTCCCTGTTTCTTTTCTGTAAAACAGGTATCTCCCTCACAGAATTCGATCAGAGCTTGTGAATCACACGGCTCAGTGCCTGTGGGGTTGCTGGAGCTGGTGTGAAATGAGTCAGGGAGACGTCTGGGGAGGAGAGTGGCAATGGGTTTCAATTTTGTTTGGTTTGATCTTCTGTTCACTGCCCGGGGGAGTGGGGAGGCCAGGCTCGGGGTGAGGCGGCGGTGAGGACAGGAGTGACTGGACTTGACCCAGCGCCCTGGCTGTCAGTGGGAGTATCGAGTGGGTCAGAGAAGGGAGAAAAAGCAGCAGGGTCGGCATGGGGCTAACTGCAGGGAGCCAAGTACAGCTCCAGGTGTGGTGCGATGGAGGATTTGGCCCAGATATGGGTGAACTGACAGCACTATCCTCCCCGGTGAGGGAGTTTGGTGGAGGGAAGAAGGGTTGGGAAGGAAATTTTAACCTTTAGCTTTTTTTTTTGATGACCTATACTTTATTTTATATATAAATAAATATATATATTTAGTTTTTAGAAAAAACTTATCTTGCAGGTATATTATACTGACACTTCACTTTTTTTAAAAAAAAATACTGTTTCTTGGATAGCTTTACAAGAGTATCTTTTACTTTTAAAAAAGTTATCATTTTTTAAAAAGGTTTTATTTACTTATTTTTGAGAGAGGAGAAGAAAGAGAGAAAGGGAGGGAGAGAAACATCTGTGTGAAAGGGAATCGATTGGTTGCCTCTCATATGCAACTCAGGGACCGAGCTTGCAACCCAGGCATGTGCCCTGACGGGGAATTGAACCAGCCACCATTTGCTTTGCATCAGGATGCCCATCCAACTCGGCCACACTAGTCAGGGCACAGGTGTATCTTTTTAAAAATTGATTAATAAATTAATAGGTTTCAGGTGTACAATTCTACACGCTACCATCTGTACCTTGTATTGTGTGTTTACCACCCCAATTGACTCTTAGGTTTAACATGAGTTTGCTACTGATGCTCACAGGGTAAGAGGAAGGGTAGAAGCAGTGAATGTCCATAGGGTAGCTCTCGGGGCTGCGGAGGCAGGGGCTTGCTCCTGGATCCTGCCCCATAGGCACCCAGCCTGGCTTCAGAGCCGTATCAGTGGATGTCAGCTGAGCAAAGGAATGAACAGCTAATGGATCCAGGCAGACCATGTTCTTAGACAACAGTTCTTGAAACACCTTCGCCCTCACGGCCTGCATTCTGACCAAAGCTGGCAGTCCCCTGGTCCTGGGAACGAGGTATAGTGACTGGAAATCTAGCCCTGGACAGTGTGTGAGCCTCTCATGTCAGAAAACTTGGAAGCCCTGACTTGCAGAGGTCTTATGGGGGCACCCCATCCATTCTCCTTTAGGCAAATGCACCACCTCAGAGAGTCCTTTCCCTTTCTGAAAAACAAAAGCAACCCTAATGCAACAATAACAAAACCCAAGGAGAGGCCCATTTTCCTGGGTAGAGCATTTTAGCGTCTCAAAAGAGTTGCTAGTAGGATTTAAAATTTGGTCCCTAAACTCGGGGTCACAAAGTACAAAGTAGAGGGCTTGACTGGGCTACTGGGCTTCTCCTGGGAAGGTAATACACAGGAGCTCTGGATAGCCAGAGGAGAGATGGCAATGGTTCTGATATATCTGTTTTTTTTAAAAACTATATTTTATCGATTGTGCTATAACAGTTGTCCCAATTTTACACCTTTGCCCTCCTCTACCTGGTACTCCAATCCCCTCCAGCAACCCCCCCTTAGTTCATGTTCATGGGTCATGCATATAAGTTCTTTGGCTTCTCCATTTCCTGTACAATTCTTAACATCCCCCTGTCTATTTTGTACCTGCCAATTAAGTTTCTTGATCACTGCACCTTTCCCCCGTTCTTCCTCTTCCCCTTCCCAGCTGATAACCCTCCAAATGATCTCCATAGCTATGATTCTGTTCCAATTCTGCTTGTTTGCTTAATTTGTTTTTTGAGATTCAGTTGCTGATAGCTCTGAATTTGTTGCCATTTTAATGTTCATAGTTTTGATCTTCTTTTTCTTAAATAAGTTCCTTTAACATTTCATGTTAAATAATACTGGCTTGATGATGATGAACTCCTTTAGCTTTACTTTGCCTGGGAAGCACTTTATCTGCCCTTCAATTCTAAATGAGAGCTTTGCTGTACAGAGTATTCTAGGTTGTGGGTGTTTGCTTTTCATCACTTTGAATACTTCTTGCCAGTCCCTACTTGCCTGCAAAGTTTCTTTTGTGAGATCAGCTGACAGTTTTATGGGAACTCCTTTGTAGGTAACTCTGCTTTTCTCTTGCTGGCAAAAATCTGAGGCAGGGTTTGAAAATTACCATTCTTAAGTAATTCTTAACATTCTTTTTTTATCTTTAACCTTTGGCATTTTAATTATGATGTGCTTTGGTATGGTCCTCTTTAGGTCCAACTTGTTCAGGACTCTCTGTACTTCCTGGACTTGTATATCTATTTCCTTCACCAAATTAGGGAAGTTTTTTTTTTCATTATTTTTTCATAAAAGTTTTTAATTTGTTGCTCTTCCTCTTCTCCTTCTGGCATCCCTATGGTTCGGATATTGGTATGTTTGGAGATGTCCTAGAGGCACCTTATACTATCTTGGTTTTCTTGAATTCCTCTTTCTTCTTGCTGTTCCGATTGAATGCTTATTTCTTCCTTATGTTCCAAATCGTTGATTTGAATCCTGGCTTCATCCACTCCGCTGTTGGTTCCTGGTAGATTTTTTTTTATTTCACTTAGTGTAACCTTCATTTCTTTCTGGGTTTTTAAAATTTTGTTGCTAAAACAGTGAGTTCTTTGAGCATCCCGATCACCAGTGTTTAGAACTCTGCATCTGATTGGTTAGTTATCTCCATTTTGTTTAGTTCTTTTTCTGGAGTTTTGTTCTATTCTTTCATTTGGGCCATGTTTCTTTGTCTCCTCAATTTGGCAGCCTTCCTGTGTTTGTTCCTGTGTATTAGGTAGAGCTGCTTTGACTCCCTGTCTTAGTAGCATGGCCTACTGTAGAAAAGGCACCTGTAAATTATTTGGGGCAGAGCCTTAAATAATCGCCAGGGCGGGGCAACCTGCTGCACTGCTTTGTGGCTCTGTGTTGGGGTGGCGAGGGGGAAAGGCCTGGAGAGGGGACAATGCTGCTACCTGGCTTCTGGAGGTTTTCCCTGCACTCACCCTGTGTGACTGGTGCCCTTCCAGCTATTTCCCTGGTCCTGAATGCCAGAGGGGGCGGACCTGTGTATGTTTTAAGTCATGCAGGGTGAGTGCATGAGTTAAGACCCTTTAAGCAGGGTCTCCTGAAAATCTGGCAGTTTCTTCCATCACCCCAACCGCCACTGGTTTTTACAGCCAGAAGTTATGGGGATTTATCTTCTTGGAGATGGAAACCTGGGCTTTGCAGTCTGGCCTGGGGCTGGGATAGCTTGCTCCCAAGGTATTCCTTCCGATTTCTATCCACCACACAAGAATGTGGGATGGTTCATTTTGCCACCTCACCTCTCTGCACCACACCGTGTCTCCCCACATCTCCATCTGTCTCTGCGTCTCTGCCCCTTCTACCCATCTGGATGCATGTGGCTTCTTTAAATCCTTGGTTGACAGACTTCTGTACAGTTCGATTTTCTAATGGTGCTAGGTGTTATTTGTTTTGAGGTCTAGTTGTAATTTTTTCTGTGGTTGCGTAAGGAGGAGAAACATGTTTACCTACTCCTCCACCTTGACCGGAAGTCAGTGATATAGAAAACTCCTTCACATATGGTCCTCTACTTTGTGCTTTCTACTTGTGAATACATTTTGTGCATTCTCTGGTGACACCTCTTTGCCACTTCTTTTTTTTAAAGATTTAATTTATTTACTTTTAGAGAGAGGGGAAGGGAGGGAGAAAGATAGAGGGAGGAACAGCAATGTAGGAGAGATACATAGGTTGTTTGCCTCTCGAACACCTCTAACCAGGGACTGGCCCGCAACCCAGGCATCTGCCCAGATTGGGAATCAAACCGGAGGCCTTTCAGGTAGCAGGCCAGCGCTCAATCCACTGAGCCACACCAGCTAGGGCCCCTTTGCCACATCTTTTATTTGCCA